GCGTCACAGCTCTCGCGGCCCAGGTCGCAAAAAGCCCACCCAGAGCTGCCCGACCCGCACGAGCTCCGGCTGCCCCTCGCATCCTCAACTCGGCCCCCACGCAGGTCCTGACCGTCTACGTCTTCGGCACCGGGGACTGCGGCGAGCTCGGCCTGGGTCCGAAGCAGAAGTCCGCTCCTCGCCCCCGGCTCAACAAGTTCCTGGACCCGGCGAGTGCCGATGGCTATCGAGTCGTGCAGCTCGCCTGCGGCGGCATGCATGTCGTTGCCCTGACAGAGGATGGCAGGGTCGTCACCTGGGGTGTCAATGATAAGGGTGCATTGGGGAGGGACACACACTGGGAGGGAAAGCTGCGGGACATGGACGCTGAGGACTCGGACGACGATTCGGACGACGACGTGAATCCGCTCGAGTCGACTCCGACCGCCCTGCCGCAGGATGCGTTCCCGGAGGGAACGGTGCTCGTCCAGGTTGCCGCGGGCGACAGCTGCAGTCTGGCTCTTACGAATACGGGATCGGTGTATGGCTGGGGCACGTTCTTGGTAAGAGCACATCCCGCCAGATGCCAAAAGCAGACCGCTAACAGAGGGTGACAGAGCAGCGACGGCAAGCCTGGATTCTGCTACGATGGCACCGGCAACTTCATCGAGGAGCAGCGTCGCCCACGTCTCCTCCCCGGCCTGAAAGACATCACGCAGATCGCATGCGGGTCCAACCACGCCCTCGCCCTCGACGCCGGCGGCAACGTCTGGGCCTGGGGCGTCGGCGAGCAGCGCCAGCTCGGCCGCCGCCTCCTGCCGGGCCGCGAGAGGAGCGGCTTCGCGCCCCGGCGTGTCGAGGTCGCGCGGAACAAGGCCAAGTACATCGCCTCCGGGCCGTACCACTCCTTCGCCGTCGACGGCGGAGACCACGTCTGGGCGTGGGGCCTCAACAGCTACGGCGAGGCGGGCAACTACGATCCCTCCAGCGACTCTGGCAGCCTGCCTTACCCGACGAAGGTGTCACAGCTCGGCGGCAAGGGCGTGGAACTCCTGGACGGCGGCGGGCACCACTCGGTCGCCGTCACGGCCGGCGGACAGTGCTTTGTTTGGGGCCGGATCGACGGCGGGCAGCTGGGCGTCGAGTTCACCGCGGATCAGCTTGCGGACGAAACGCTCGTCGTGCGGGACGAGAGTGGCAAGCCGCGCATCTGTACTCGTCCTGTTCCTGTATCGCATATTGGCGAGGTGGCATACGCGAGCTGTGCGTCGGGACACACGATCTTCATCACTAAGGAGGGGAAGGCCTACAGCGCGGGATTCGGGTTCATGGGACAGCTCGGACACGGCGACGAGGAGGATGTCGAGGTTGCACGCCAGATCGAGGCGAAGGCTGTGAGAGACAAGGTCCTCACGTGGGCTGGTGCTGGTGGACAGTTTAGTCTGGTTGCTGAGCCGTGATCAGAGGGCGTGATTGAAGGCCATGATTAGAGGGCCGTGGTTAGAGGGCCGTGATTAGATAGCAGCGACTGCTTGTACGGCTGGTGTCCGACTGACCAGATTCCCAGGGCCGGTTCCGACTCTCTCCATGTCGAATTCGATGTTCACGAGGCCTAGCTTTACTCCAACCGCATTCTCAGCATCAGTCCATTCTTCAGTGCGAATGCGGCATTGCATCAAGACTCCTCAGGATTCCCATCGATCCATGTCTGGAAGACGACCACAAGATATGACCTTTGAAGTCTTACTGGATTTTACCCCCGGTGTACGACCTGCATTGGCAACACCGGGTACACAGGCTCTAAATCGGTGCAGGACTGTCTTAAGTGTACAGGTGAGATGTGCCATGTAGTACGATTGCTGTACTGCGGTAAGTCACCCATGAGGCCAGCTCGCGGTTCCTTCACCGGCAGAGTAACATGACGTCCGGAGTTCAGGTTAGGTAAAAGGAAGGTAACAGCAACGGCCATGAAGTCACTTGACCTCTTTCTCCGAGCCGTGTGCCGGCGGTCAAGGGTGGTTCAGCGTCCCTCGAGCTTGGAAACCAGCCAAGAGAACCAGTTGAACCAGCAAGCCGCACGATTGGAAGGTGCAACATCCTTATCTCCCACGATCCCGGTAGCAGTGCAGGTCACAGGAACACAATAGAAAGAAAGGATCGCTCCTGCGTCAACTGCGCGAAGCGTATCGACGAGAATGGACGCATACCTGCGGCTATCTTCGGGCCAATGGCACGACGTCGTGAATTCCGCCTCTTGCAGAAAAATTTCGGAACATTCCATGGCTTGTCGCCTCGGCCTTCCCTGTCTTCCCGTCTTGGATCTCGAAAAGATTGGCTCAAGGGTTCCCAATTGCTGGCGAAAGCACTCGCGGGATGCAAACTTTTCATACATAGTGCAGCGTCTACGAGTTTTCTTGGAAACTTCTCGTCAATTGCTGCAGGTCGATCAGGTTCAGCTCGCGGGGTGGGGGAACCCAGCGCTATCAAAGATGAAAGTTTGATCGTGTGTGACCTTGAGCATGATTCTCAATTGCTGTCGGTGGTCTCCCAGCACTCCGAGTTGTTTCCATTGCGTCATGGGCCTACATGCGATAACGCTAGAAAAGCTTCTAGATATGACAGAGAAAAACATGAGTCGCATACATCCGGCATAGGACTACCTTAGGGTGTATACCACGCCCCCCCATCTGAACGAGTTTTCTACGGGGCCAGCGCGGACACGCACATCATGTCGAAACGCATGCCCGGTGTCAATGGCTCCACGCGCCCTATGCATGCTCTCTGCAAAGACCGATTGGCTGCCAAGTCGCCAGGTCTCCGTTCCTGATGCCGAGCGACACTCAGGTCCGGTATCGATGGTCGATCCGGCCGAGCTAAGTGAAGAGTCCCCTCTTAAGGAGAGTGTGACTCTTAAACTCGCAAGCGGCTCCTTCCTTTGTTTCACTTCACCCTCGTAGACTTCACTTTTCACTCAGACCACCGTGTATCTTCTCCATTGAGTCATCCTAAGGTATCTCTCAACTCTCTGCCCACATCACCAGCCAGGAGCGTATATAAACACCGTCCCAAGTACACTTACCGCCACTCGCCCAACAATACCACCACCGCAAACCACAACCATGGCGCCCGGAGTCATCACCCCCACCACCTCCGGCCCGGAGGGCAAGCAGGACCTCGACCTCACCGCCTCGGCCGTCGACGCCAAGCTCACCACCAAGAACGGCCACGTCCAGAACGGCCACGTCGAGTCCCGGCCCGCGCAGCTCGCCGAGCTCGACGCCTCCAAGCTCACCTACACCCTGACCTCCAACCCGCGGCCCGTGCCCGACGAGGCCACCGCCAACTCCGGCCTCGAGACCGTCTGCACCGACCACATGATCACGGCCACCTGGTCCGCGCGCTCCGGCTGGGCCGCGCCCGAGCTCAAGCCCTACGGGCCCCTGACCCTGATGCCCACCGCCTCCGTGCTGCACTACGCCACCGAGTGCTTCGAGGGCCTCAAGGCCTACCGCGGCTTCGACGGCAAGCTGCGCCTCTTCCGGCCCGACTGCAACGCCAACCGCATGCTCATGTCCACCGTGCGCATCTCCCTGCCCGCCTTCCCGCCCAAGGAGCTCGAGAGGCTGCTCCTGGCGCTCATGGCCGTCGACGGGCCCCGGTGGCTGCCCCGGTCCCGGCCCGGGTCCTACCTCTACCTCCGCCCCACCATCATCGGCACCTCCCCCCAGCTCGGCGTCCAGGCGCCCCACGAGGCCATGCTCTACATCATCTGCTCCTTCATGCCGCGCATGGACTCCCCGCCCGGAGGCATGAAGCTGCACACCTCGCCGGAGGACATGGTGCGCGCCTGGGTCGGCGGCTTCGGCTACGCCAAGGTGGGCGCCAACTACGGTCCGAGCCTGCTGGCCACCCAGGAGGCGCGGAAGAGGGGGTTCAACCAGATCCTGTGGCTGTACGGCAAGGAAGGGTACTGCACCGAGGCCGGCGCGAGCAACTTCTTTGTGGTGTGGAAGACCAAGGAGGGGAGGCAGCAGCTCGTCACGGCGCCGCTGGACGACCGGCTGATCCTGGACGGCGTCACGCGCAGGAGCATCCTCCAGCTCGCCAAGGAGCGGCTGGGCGACGAGCTCGAAGTCGTGGAGCGGAGGTACACGATCGACGAGGTCATCGAGGCCGAGCGGGAGGGACGGTTGGTCGAGAGTTTCGCCGCTGGCACTGCTGTAAGTTTCTACTCACCTTCATCTCGGGATCTCTGCTGGATTTTCTGGACTAACATATGTGTGATTGCAGTACTTCGTCTGCCCCGTCTCGCTGATCCACCACCGCGGCAAGGACGTCGCCATCCCCACGGGCGAGAACGACTGCGGCGCCTACACGGCCAAGCTGAAGGGCTTCATGAGGGACATCATGTACGGCAACGAGCAGCACGAGTGGGGCGTCGTCGTCGAGGAGAAGGAGTAAGCGGACGTATATATCTTGGGTCGTGGCTGAAAAAGGGGGACTTGGTCAAAAGGGACAGCGTTAGACTTGTGCATGGGTTGATGGCATGGTTAGGCGTTGGGTTGAGCTTTACCATTTGATTTAGAAATTAATTCCAATACGTTGACTGTCAAACTCTGATATGCCGACCCGAAGATACTTGGTATGACGCCTTCGAAAGTGTGCATGGCTGTCTCTAACGTCAGCCAGTGATTTGCAGCGCCCACTTTGTCACTCCAATGGCGTCCCTGGAGCCTCCTGCAGCTTCACTGCAATTCCAGACGGCGCGAAGAGTCCGGTTTTCAACTAGTTTCATTGCGGCCTTCAGTCCCCGGTCTGAACGCATACCCGTTACCCGACTCAACACAGGCTGAAGATGGGTCTTCCTGTCATCGGCGTATACGTTAATCAGTCATCTAACTCGTCGCTCTCCTAGAAGTGGATGACCATCTTGACAGACACGGACAGTCCGAAAGGTCGGGCAAAAGGTGGAGCAGCACCCAGTTACTGATAATCAGGGATAGCTAGCCACCAATCATCAAGCAACCTTGGTCTAACGGTTAGGATTCAACCCTTCCAAGGTTGAGGCAGGGGTTCGACTCCCCTAGGTTGCATTTTTGCCCGATCATCTTGGACAGCCTTCTCGTCCGACTTGGACATGAAGTTCATCGTCTTATTATCTTGGTTCATCTGTTTTGCCTCATTTTTTGACTTGTTCCAGCTGCTGTCTGTGGAATCAGGCATACGGCCAGAGTGTCCTTGCAGCAGCGGTGCGTACAATGGCGTGGAAAACTTGCAGTCCTTGAGTACTATCTCACCCGATCGTTGGCTGAGAACGTGAACTCTCAAGGTGCATTGAGACTGACCATGTGCTGCACAACCTCACATTGCATCGATTCATTCAACACAGGCGGGAAATATCATGGCACATTTATCACAGCATGACCAGTTCAATTCAGCATGCAAACAATCTGTCATTGCATTCATAAGACTGAGTGACCGTTCAGTCAGGGAGTATCAAAAAAAGAGGTCATCTAATCATACAGGTTTCCCTGAATCCCTAATCATACAAATACAATTCCCTTCACACTCCGCTATACCTCTCCTGGTGGGTAGCAGAGCTGTTGCGGCGGTCGCGGCCGTGGTGGTGGTCGTCGTGCTCGACGACGGGGTCACCGATGGTCTGACGCAGGACCGACGGGGGCACCTGTGCGGCGTCCGTGGGGTCCCGGTGGCCGATGCCGCTGCCGTGGGTACCAGATCTGAGGGGCAGAGGTGTTAGTTCGGCTTCTCAGGGCACAACTGAACTGCGGACCAACTTACTTACTGGTAGGTCTTGTTGCCACCGACGGTCTTGCTGCCGTCGAGGTCGGAGTCGACGCGGGGATCAAGCTTGTTGACCATGTCGCTCTTGTGGGGGCCGGCGGTGTTGGGGGCCGGGCCGGGGGCGGCGTGGCCTAGACCGCTGCCGGTGGTCGAGGAGCCGTAGCCGGCGGCGCCGGTGTTGTAGCCTGTGTGGGTCGTGGAGCCGTAGCCCTGGCTGCCGCCGAGGTTGTGGGAGCCGTCGCGGTCGGAGTCGACGCGCGGGTCGAGGGCGTTGGCCGTGCGGGAGCTGTGGGGACCGTGCTCGCCCTCGCGGGTGCCGACGTTTGAGCCCGTGGTGAAGCCCGAGGTGCCGGTGGTGTGGCCCGTGCTGTAGCCCTGGTTGCCGCCGAGGTTGTGGGAGCCGTCGCGGTCGGAGTCGACGCGCGGGTCGGCGGCGTTGGCGAGGCGGGAGCTGTGGGGTCCGTACTCGCCCTCGCGAGCGCCGGAGGTGTGCTGGCCGAAGCCGGCGGAGCCGGTGGAGGCTGCTAGACCGGTGCTGTGGGAGCCGTGCGTGGGACCGGTGCCGTGTACGTAGCCTCCCGTGGAGCTGCCGTAGTTCTCGCCCTGACCAGCAGTGCGGCCGAGGTTATGCGAGCCGTCACGGTCCGAGTCGACGCGAGGGTCGGCGGCGTTGGCGAGACGGGAGCTGTGAGGGCCGTGCTCGCCCTCACGGGTGCCGTGCTGGCCGAATCCGGCAGAGCCTGTGGAGGCTTCTAGGCCGGTGCTGTGGGAAGCGTGTGTGGGACCGGTGCCGTGCACGTAGCCGCCGGTCGAACTGCCGTACTCGCCATGGCCCGCTGTGCGGGCGCCGGCGTTGTGAGAGCCGTCGCGGTCAGAGTCTACGCGGGGGTCGGCAGCGTTGGCGACGCGGCTGCTGTGGGGTCCATATGTGCCCTCGGGAGCGCCTGATGAGGTGCCGTGGGTGGTGGAGGTGTTGTGGGTGGTGTCACTGTGGTCGGAGTGGAGAGCGTCCTTGACCTTGTTGATGATAGACGACATGTTGTGTGGTTGTGTATCTTATTGGTATGAGTTGAGTGTAAGAAGTAGTTTGAGTTGTGTCTGTGGCTGTTGTAGTGTAGGTTGCTTTGGGTTGTAGGGTTGTGTTATGATGATGAGAGAGGAGATGATGGCCGTTACAGAGGGTGTTGGCTCGTTATATACCTGTCTGCATCCAGCTTGTGGAGTGAATAGAGTTTTGGGTCATGGCAGTCTCAGCGCAGATGCCATCATAGGCGGAGATTCGTGATTGCCATGGCTGCCAGCACGCAAGCCGAGCCGTCCAAGCAGGCATTGACTGTTCCAACTTCCCCATGCGTGTCCAAGGAAACCCGCATGTCACGAGACGGAGGCGCTCAACCTCTTACTCTGCATGTCGTCATGTTTAGCGGGGAACGGTCAGCTTCGCCCTGCACCTCCGGTCCCGATCCCATGGCGACCCGCAGGTACCTGCGAGTTGGAGGTCCGTCCGAGACCACGCTCTCAAGCCACTCGTTAGCCTAGCGTCAAGGAGGCTCAACGTGTCGTCCTCCCCAGTTCTACCTGGCTGCCTGGTAGTGTACCAGTCCAATCTCAACAGGTGACGCTAGCAGGCAGTCCTGATTGGGCACGAGGCAATGGCTTTACGTGCACTGTGTATAGACGAGCAGGCGGGCTTGTGTAGTGTACTTGGCCAATTCTTGTCAATCAGGTCAACTGGTGGAACTTGCTACTGCCAAGATCCAAGCTTCAACCCTGCCGGCCGAGAGTCTGGCAGGTCTGGCATTGAGGCAAGACACACCGGCCCCCCGTTATTGAGCCTGCACAACCGGGCGGTTTGGCGTCATACTGGACCCTGCTCGTAATGCTGTGACGTTGTAGGGCTGCTGCAAGGTGGATCCGCGGGTCATTGGCGCTAGAATGTTTCCATAGCAGGCACGACCTCCCCACGTCTTTCGGCACGCCTTACTGGTCTCGGCTAATGCTCGATCATTGCGAATATCTTTAGCAGCAATCGTCAAGTGGCTGATCAGCACATGATCCAGTGTCGACTGTGCCACATCCAAGTTTGCAGAACAGCCGCAATAACGCAACACCTCCCGTCGTCATGCGAAGTCGATCTCGGAGGCGATGTGTGGCTGGTGACGCAAGTTCCGGAACCCCTGTGGCGCGAGCTACCCCTGCCCGCCCTGAAATGCTGGCCTTACCCCGCAACGCTGTACGTACCTACACAGTGCCCTCATAAAATGCTACGTCATCAAAAAGCTTCACATTATGTGCCCGTACACGTAGGCTCAGCTTGTTTGTGCCGGTGCTTGAGTGCCGACTTGCAGCAGTCGCATCATCTGCCACGCTTGGCTTACTATATACTATGGTACAAGCTACACGTGTAGAGGTCGTTGCCGGTCGGCATCTGCGAGAACACCGAGATGAAGTCGGGACTGAGCAGGAACTTCAGGTGCTCTCTCACGACACATCATCATAATCGCGGCAGAGGCGTTCTTCCTAAAAGGGCAATATTAACAATTGACGCATTAGAATACAGAAGGTAGTAAGGGTATCATTTCGTCCCAAATTCATCGCAGTCGTGAAGAGACTCCCCAGTCCTGGTGCCAATCGTTGCCAATCGTACAATGTCACTGAGCTCTCACTATCTCAAACCAGAAAAGCACCTTGCTCACAGTCCAACTTGCAGTTCAACCCAAACTCAGCTCGCCAACCTCCTGGTAGAGCCACCCGGCAAGGACCGAACCGCCGCTCAGCCGCGTAGAGCTACCTCCTACTCAAAGCCATGGTGACACACCGGACGAAGCCGGCTTAGACACGGCTGCGATACCACCGGCGGCGGCGGTAGGTGCCGTCGGCGGGGGCGTGGGTGGCGCGAGTAGTGTGCCTGTGGACCCAGTAGATGCCCAGGAGGGCCGACACGAGCCAGCAGATGGCCGACAGGAAGGTGAAGGCGAGATCGGCCTTCCACTCGCTGCAGCCGCCGTCGAAGCCGGCGCCGCTCCAGTTGAAGACGTATCTATTCGCCTTTGTCAGTATACCGTGTGATGTGGTCTTAACCTCTCGTAGGAATCGAGCCAGACTTACCCGCAGGATCCGTTCAGCCAGTTGACGAGCAGACCGAACGAGACGAACCAGGCGATGCTGATGAAGAGGTCGGCGGGCCAGTGGATGAAGGAGCCGCTGAAGGGGAAGAGCCAGATGATGGCCAGGATCACCGCCAGGGCGGCCACGACGTCCGTGTAGATGAAGCGGCCCTGGTCCCAGGCTGACACGCCCTGGGTGATGTGCAGGTAGTGCGAGGTGATGCCCAGCACGATGGCGGCGAAGACGAGCTCCGCGAGGCGGAGGATCATCGAGATGAGGTCGGCGAGGATCATGGTTGCGGTTTGGTGGTGGTGAACTTTTTAGTGAGGGAAAGTGGCTGGGTGGAGGGAGAACCGTGGCGAGGCTGATAATTGGCCTGGTATCGGTCAACAATAGAGCTTGTCTGTCTGGTTGGGAATTTTGAAAGATTATCTGGTCGGGAGGTCAGGATGGCCTTGACTATTTATCCATGGAACAAGAGTATTGGATGAAAACCAGTCAGGGTTTCTTCCTTGGTTGGGCATCTATGACTTGTCGACCTCAGGTTTGCAGGCACGCTTCCCGGGTCGTATCACGGAAGCGACCTTGCACAATTCATGGTATACGTTCTCGCGTCTTTCAACCATGTCGGTGAGCAGCGTGCCAAGAAAGTATCGAGCTGTACCGGCACCCGCCCGGGCAAGTACCGCTTCGCAACCACAAGGAACGCGTCAAGGCGCTCCGGGTATGTAGCCAACAGGATCCTGTGTGCTTCGCTTCGTTGCTTTACCAGATCATGTGCCAGAACTCGATCCAGTGTGCTTCATTTCCGGACCATTTCGCGACGGTCAGAGTGCCTGTGATGTCATACGGCAGATGCCTGTGCCGGAGGTCTCTCCGTTTGATAGGCGGGCCGCATCAGCACGCTAAAAGTCCTTGGCGATTGTGAAACACGACACTTGCGAACCGTCTGTACCAAGATTTGGGTTTTCCCCAGCCACAGTCAATTCAACAGACCGCATATTCGCGGAGTTTGTCAAAGAGCCCGATGAGGATAACACTGACTACACAAAGAAGAGTGTCAAGTGGCAAAGGGCTCTCTGGACTACTATGGTATCACCAATCCTCCACTGCCTCCGTTCTGACACTTATCCCTTCTGGGGAACATCTCGAATGAAGAGAAAGGAACGCTTCAACGAAT